TTAGTTTTTATACTTTAGTTTTTATCTTTTAATTAGTTATAGCCTTTTTTGATTAATAGCTTGCTATTTAATCAACTCAAATCTTGAATTATATCGATTACTAGTGACTTTATTTAGTTAATCTTTATAATTTCTTTAATTTATTTATTTATTTCTTTATTTCTTTATTTATTTACTCTTTGTTAAGATAATATTTGTAGATATTAACACAGATCTTAGAAATCTTTGTCATTATTAAAAATATAGTTTAATTTCTCTCTCTTCATCCTTTAATTATTTCAGTCTCTCCCAATCCTATATTGTTAAGATGAATTCAAGTGAAAATCTGCTTATTAATTTGTCATAACAATACTTTTACTTAATAGAAATTTTTTATACTTAAAAATTTATTGATAACAACATTAAATACTTTCTATAATTTTGTTATAAATTTATTTTTATTATCTTTTTGGAAAAGAAAAGACCAAAGTAATTATCTTTTTGCTTTATAATTTATTAATAATTATTTTTAAATAATATGAATATGAACAGATTTATTAATAAATATATTTATTAATATTTTTTATCTACTTATTTATAAAATTATACTCTTTATTATTTTTTCTTTTTCTAGAGAAGAAAATAATAGTATTTGTCATGATTAACTTGTAAGTATATAAAAAGAATATGACTTTTATAAGAAATTTAGAAATAGAGAAAATTATATCTCTCTTAAAAATAAAAGTCTTAAAATAAGACAAATGCATATAATGCTTAAAATAAGTATATTTTATCATAATTATTTACTTGTAGTTTTTCTTTTTAAGTTACTTATATTCTTTTTATCTAAATGTATTTGAATTATTAAAAGAAAAAAATAGTTATAAGCTAAAAAAATTAATAAAAAAAAAGAATATAAATTATTTTTATTTATTTTATCATATTACTTATTATATTATTTTTCATTTGTAATATAAAAATTAATTTCATATTAATAATTATATAATATACAAATAAATATTTTTTAATATATAGTATATGATAAAAAAAACTTAACTATACTAAATTTATTATAAATTTATAAATATTATATCAAATTTAATAATTAATATATTATTTAAAAGCAAAAAAGTTATAGAATAAAATTTATTAAGCTTAAAAATTGATTTATTTATTTTTGCTTTCAATATTAAATTATTTTTGAAATAGAATCCTATTCTTCTATCAAGAACTTTTATTTCTTAATATTACTCTTAATAATAGTCTATAAATTTTTTATAAGGTTAAGATTAGTTTGGATAATTTAAATACAGAATAGATAGCTTTATTTTAATAATATAATAAGTTATATATCTTTTATTTGCAAGTAATTAATAACATTTTGATAGTGAATTTTGCAAGAATTTATTTAACAAGTATAGTAAATAAATCTGTTATTTAACTTTAATTCAGTAATTATTTATTATTTAATATGATCAGCAAATAGTTTTTTTGTCACACACTGTATGTACTGTATATCTTACTGGAAAATAGTGATTTACCTTCATTTGTATTAAACAAATTAATTTGACACCAAGACGCCCAAGATAAAGAGCGAGAAAAGGAACTCTGATAAAAATAAATGTACAAATTAAGATTGAATTGCATTTGAGTATATTTGTTTTTTGTTTATATCCGTGGGAGTAATTTCATACCTTATTAAGTTTAAGGAGCTGTAATACTGAAAATGCAAGTATTCGGTTTCCAATCATTATTTTGTCGACAGGGATAGAACAGATAAACTCAGCATTTGTCTGTTTTCTGGAATAGGATTCTACATTTTTATAATAAATTTGCATCACCCGGGAACATTGTTTGATACCGTAGGTCGCATTCCTTTTTAAATGTCTAATACGAGATGTATATCACCTGTACACAAACTATACTCCACAAATTCCTTGATTAAATTTTGTTGGAATGATAAGTCCAACCTCAGCAATTTGAGGATACTTTTTTCTGTGAATAGTTTTCATATTATCGATTATATTAGTCAATTTTTCGTAACAAGATAGATAATGTTCATAAATACGAACAATACTAAATAAAATTTATTAATATTAAATATAAAAAATCCAAAAAGACATGTTCTTAATGTTAAATTAAAGAATATAAGCCAAAATAGGTGCCAGTTGGACGACAAGGAAAACCACTTTGACATTTTGCACATAAATCCATTTGATGCTCAGAAATACCCACAGCTTTTTTAAGAGGTTCGAAGTGTACGATACGGCCTGTATCATCAAAATTATTCTTAACACATGTATAGCACTTTTGCATATAATAATCATCATGAGGAACCAATTCAGATGGTTGAACCGAATCGATAAATTTTTGTAATGACATCCAAATATAACCACTATACCATGGTCTTGCGCAACGACAACATCTCCAGCGACCGAATGCTCTGTAATGATTGTTCCATACAAGGTGGACGATTATTTCGAAGGCAGGATCATACTGGAAATATGTTTATTTATAAGAAATTTATCTAGAAATAAATTAACATGTAAATATTTTACTTACATTCTGATGTGCGGGTTTATTATGAAAAAGACGAAAACTAGAGATCCAATTTCTTCTCTTATCACCACAATTATTACAACGCTTTTGAAAAAATCCACGGAATTCTTTTGCCGTTTTCTTTAGACACTTTTCAAGTATCACCTTATCATATCGTATTTGCCATTCATAATCACATTTTGAACATGACCAGTTGCCATAAGCAATATATTGGGTCGACATTAGATGATTGATGATTTCAATGATCTGTTAGGGATAAATTATAAATATTTATAAAAAACAATTTTATTGGATCTTAAAACCAAGTAATGAAATGACTTACATTTTGTCTTCGCGAAAATTCTTGGATTTTTGGTTTGATCAATGCTTTATTTGTTTGAGTCAAAGAATTCTATAATAGTTTGTTTTGATATTGAAAAATTTAATTTTCTTTATACGATACGCTTCATAAAAGTGATAAGCAAAAGTGATACTACATACTACTTTCTGTTCTTTCTTAAAATCTTGGACTTTTTTCGGCAAGGATGATATCTTGAGAACAGGCGAACTCTAAATAAGATCAAATTACTATTTCATATTTATTCACAGAACATTATAAAAAAGAAATCAATTACCATCGATGATGATACCGTGGATTTTCCTTGGGGAAGAAGAGGTGCAACTATCAGAGCTGGTATATCATCATCGTCTTCGCCGTCGTTGTTATCATCACAGGAAATACATGCACATTTAGAAAGGAGAGCCGGTAGATCATCTTCGTCTTCGTCGTCGTCGTTATCATCGTCTTCAGTGTCACTCAAAGATATCGGAAAAAGGTCATAATTCTAATTATAATATCAAATAAGACGTTATGTATGTTCATATAAAAATGATGAAATAAAAATATGTACCATTTTCTTTGACGCATTTTTATTGAGCACTTTTTGTTCAAAGTTAATAAATTTAGCGCGAGGATTTGCGTTTCCTTTCTTATTTTCGTGCTAATTAAAAAGCATAAAGATACTAAATATAATATTTATACGAATACATATTGACGGTCATAAATTGCGGTAATTTAAGAAGAAAATACCAGGTTTGCCGTGGAAATTATTTCAGAAATTTGAGAAGAAAGTAAAAAGTTTGTCGAGGAAATTATTTCAGGATTTTTCTTCGCGTCACTTGAGCTCTACATTAACATAATAAATACTTTACAGTTATTAAACATCTCATAATATGTGGTCATTACAAGTTAAAAATTATATAATAAATGCCTTTGACTCTTTTGACGATGCTGCAGAGATTTTTTGCCCCATTATCAATAGCAATAAATAATTTTAGGGATTAAGAATTATTTTTTTTATATCCGAGTCGGAATTACTACTCCCTTTCTAGGGCGTAAAATGTTTTCTCATGATTTTGATCAACACAGGTCGCGTGTTAATTTTCTATGGAAATTTTCAATAACTTTATGTATCACTAAATCAAAAATGGCATCGTTCAACCCCACTTATTAAAATTGCGTCAATGGCATTAATTATAAGCATGTCCTGAATTTGGGAATCCTACTGTAAATTGTTAATGGTCGAGTTTAATTAAGGTTAGGATTAGAGTTGAGATCAGAGTTATATATAAAAATTGCCTCAGTAACATTTTGGTTAGTATATAAATTTTATTTCGGATATTATCATGTGATATTGAATTCGAAAAATCATATGAATTATCACGCAAAATCTTTATTTTTTATTATTTTTAAGGATACTCTTTACAACTTATCTATTTGAGTCCAAACTGATTGATCATCTTTCTGATCATATACAAAGGCAACCCCGTTATAACGAACCCCGTTTAACCGAAGCACTAATTACAACCGAAGATGGTTCCAGGATCAGTTATAGTAAATC